GTCAGCCCCCCGGTAGGGGGGGGGGGGGTGCAGCCACCTCCAGCTGTTCAGCTAAACTCAATCTTCTCTGCAAAAACGGACCCAAGAGGAAATCCTGGAAAAAAACCCTGACTTTGAGTTCAGTTAAAGAAGTATGAATGCAGACACAATTAATATCAACACAATTTGGAAAAGTCATGAATCTTGGCAATGAATTTCCCAATCCCACGGTGAAGACCTCGCATGCACTTGATTACACATTTCCAGTTCACTTTTTATACATTACTCTGATTCTCTATTTAACATACCACGACTTGGGTACTGTACATTTTGATTTACGTTGGACAGAGTTACAATTCGGTCAAACACCAATACACTCGACTCAGGTCGAAAACAAAAAAAACTCAGATTCACTTAGGTCGGACAGAATGTCCGGGGTGGTTCCCTCTCTACGTCGGACAATTTCACGAATAGGTCGGACAATGTCCGTGACCGACCGATATTTTAAGGCCTGGTAGTGTACTCGCCTAGCATAGACACGTACCAAATTTTTGGTTAAACATGTTCAAACATTTGTATAACATATTTAACCATAAAATTTAAACCATATAGTCTTCATTTGAGCCATGCAGGTGATGCAGCGTCTGGGTATAAGGCAGTGCAGAACAACATAAAGCTTTTGTATAGTCGCTCGCTCTCGCGACTTCGTCGATCCGCATACGAGGTCGACTTGTAGCAAGTCTATTGTTTCTAGGACTAGGAAAGAACGTGTAATTCCAACGTTATATAAAGCTGTGAAGACTAGCTACAACTAAGATTGCTTCCAATTTAAGCTGTAAAATATGTATATAATGCTTTGTTTCTATTGCGCACTTCAAGTAAAAGAGCTACAATAAATGTTTTTATTTTTTTTCTTGCGGTCCGAAGTCATATTTTACGCTTTTCTGCAATCTGATTGGCTACGTGAGCGGTCCGTATGAGCCCGTACGGACCGCGCGAGATTTAAAGCCGTAGAGCCAATGTTTTTATTTTTCAAAATTTAAAGACGAGTTTAAAGGCTACTTTTTAAAACATTAAAATGTCTGCAGACAATGAAAAACACAGTGAAAACGAATTTTACTATCTCACAAAAGATATTTCTCTTCCCGATAGCATTGATAGAAACGACGTTTTATTTGGCAGCTTCATTCGCGTGCGGGAGGAGTGATTGGGGAAATCCAGAGGAGGAATTAAAAAAAAAAAATAAAAATATTATTTACCGGTATGGTCGGTCCGTATAGAGAAATATTTCTCTCGGTCTTAAAAACGTCCCTCGGCCTTCGGCCTCGGGCCGTTTTTAAGACCTCGAGAAATATTTCTCTATACGGACCTCCAATCCGGTAAATAACATATATATAATATATATATATATAATATATATATATATATATATATATATATATATATATATATATATATATATATATATATATATATATATATATATTTATCACATACTTGTACCTTTATCAGGTAGGAAGCAGCGGGACATAAAAACGATATCGTCCCGGATATCGTTTTTTGTCCCGGATATCGTTTTTTGTCCCACTAAATGTCGCACCTTGTCAAAACAGAGATGGCCGACTCGAGGTCCGTGTTGGTTGATGTCGACAGTTTTATCGAAGGAAACAAGAACGATAATACAAAACGAAAGACTTAAATTGTATATTATTTATATTTATCACCTTTACTTGTATATTATTTATATTTATCACCTTTACTTTTTAGTATTTATACTAACGATTTGCCCTCATCAGTCCACCATAGTAAACTTGAATCGTACGTGGACGACTCCAAGATATTACTATCTTTCACTGTGGCTAACGTGGACTGTTTAAAGCAACAACTTGAGGAAGATTTGTATTTGATTGCAAACAGTTGTTCCGAAAATGAATTGCTTATTAACACGGGAAAGACCAAATACATGCTGATTGGCACACGGCAAAACCTACAACAACTTCCCGTAGATATGACCATAAACTTCCTCAACGAGACTATTACCCCCGTCTCCTTTGCCAAAGATCTAGGAATGACAATCGACTCTTATTTGACATATGACCAGCATATCACCAACCTGGTTTCTTCATGTATGAATTCCTTGTGCCAAATAAACCGAGTCAAAAAATGTTTCGATAAAGAAGCTTTAACTCTCATCGTCTCGGCACTTGTAATGAACAAAATGTTCTATTGTTCAACGGTTTGGTCAAACACTTCGTCTAACAACATTAAGAAACTACAGTTGGTACAAAATTTTGCATGCAGGATAATAACAAATATTGGAAAGTTCGACCATATTTCGCCGGGCTTACGCGAACTTAACTGGCTCCCAGTAAAGGAACAATTACTACTAAGAGAGGCTATTAGGATGTACAAATGTGTCAATGAACTTGCTCCACATTATTTGAGCGATTTATTCACAAAACGTTCTGACATTCATCAACGAGATACACGTAGCCATGACTCACTGCAAATACCATTGTACAAAACTTCTGCAGGTCAAAGGTCCTTCCATTATAGAGGCGTTACACTCTGGAATGATTTGGACATAAAGTACAAAAAGTTAGACTCCCTAAAAACTTTTAAAAACGAACTGAAGCGAAGCATGCTAGAACAAATATATAAGTAGATAATCTTACCTTGTTAAACTTTATACAAATGTCTTACCTTTTTATCTTAATTTAAATTCTAGATTCTAAAACTTGTAAATAGAA